ACATAAAGTTTCACAAAGACAGGAGCAATACACTTGAGTAATCTATTGGGCAGAATGCTGACTATAATACACAGCGTCTTCCAAAAAAATAGATATTCACTTCAGCAATTCACCGCTTTGAGCACCTCTTGTAATTGTAGAGGCCAAAGGTAACTTGCATGGATTTCATGATGTCTCCATAAATTTAGTATTAAAATATTTATACAAGTCTTTCTTTTCCTGATGTGTACATTTTTGATAGAATCTGTATATTATTAATGCATTATGTATTTCCAGTAGTTTCACCATAAAACAATAGGTACATGAGGTGATGAATCTGCTGTTTAGCTTGATGAACTCATTCCACAGTGTAAACATACATCAAATATCATAGTACATTTCATAAATATGTACAATGATTATGTGTCTAAAAATAATTTATAAAAATATTGAAATCATGGTAACTTAAAAGTATAGCACCTTATGTCATGTTCTCAAGAATAATTTGTTAGTCACAAAACTTAAGGATTTATCTAACTTTCTTTAAAATCAAAGTTCCTTTAAAGTAATTATGTTGTAACAGCATATTAAATATAAAATGAATAGTATACCTAACCTTGACAATCCTGGGGGTTAATCAAAATGACACATGACAGAAGTTTAAAATGTAAGTTGAAAATCCCTCCCCAGCAGTTACTACCCTTCTGAGATATGACGTTTTTTTTTCTTTCTTTCTTTGTATTTTTTTGTGAAGGCCAGAAGATTTTTATCTGTAACTGTAATGAAACGGATAAAGTGCTATTACGGAAACAGAAAGACACTCATGTGACAAGTCACAGAAAGATGACTTAGGTTCTTGGGGTTTGGAATCAACATTTTGTCTGATGAGTTCTTTGAGTTAAAAATATCATTGTATACAAAAGAAAAAAATTATTGTTATATGTTAACTATGGTAGTATCAAAAATTTAGGTACTTATTCATAGCTATATTTCTCAAAGAGCATGCAAATTGGCATTTCTTGTGTTGGCCGAGTTCCCACTGGAAAGGTTTCAGGACAATATGGCTGCAGCTGCCACTAGGTAGACTGCTGTGTTCTTCAACGCAGCACTGCAGTTCTCAGTCTGTTCTGAAATGATGCACATATGCACATAGACAGCGTCAGAGAGCAGTCCTGATTTCAACACCTCTGTAGGAGGAGAAAAGAGGAAAGCTGTATAAACTCATGCATTTATAGAGGAAAACATTGAAAATATGTAATCTCAGTAAAATCTAATACTGTGTACAGATAAGAGAACATGAAAAATCCATACATTGTGAACTGAATATTTTCCAAAGTAGGGATAGGAAAAATTTTATATGTAATATATTATATATATTTGTATGTATATATGTAATATTTTATATGTATATATGTTTATATGTATATTATTTATGTGTACTTATTTTATATGTATATATGCAATATATTATTACATATTATATTATATATTACATGTAATATAAAATATATACATTAGAATAATCCCATTTTTGTTATATGTACATTATATGTGTATGCAGAGTTCTATGTATATGTATGTGTATATGTGTAAATGTACAGGTGTAAGTTCAACATATATGTAAATGTACACTTGAGAGCTGACAAAATATTCCTACTAATGTGACTGCTGAAAAATTTGTCTACATAATGTTTGTTTGGTCTTATATTTTTAGTGTTTGACAATGTGTAATTTTAAAATATATTAATAACCATTGTAATGGTATTATTGTACCAGTGTAGCACTGTTATAGTTACAGTTACTTTAACTTGGTTTAGATAGATTATTCTTAAGTATTTAGCATGAGTATTGATTCTTCTTGCATCACCAGTACAATGCAATATTTTGTGCAGTTTTCAATTTTCTATTATCTTTTTCATTGAGATCACAAGGACATAGTAGTTATGTTATTCTGTAATTTTTCTGTACCTCTGGATTAGCCTCATTTTGTAATAACTTTTAAGGCTTATAATGTGGGATTTACAAAATCCTTAAATTTCTGTGCTTTCCATTTCTGGACCTTACTCATGAATACAAATACAAAAATGTTAGCACATAAAAGCAAGCTTTTCTCCTACTTTATCCCCGAGAAATTTCACAAAGAATGGGAGAGAGGGTGATTAGTATTGGTTAATCTATAAGCTTATCAGCAAGATGCACGGGTAAATCACTTTTGAATTACCTTTGGTTATTTCCCCAAGTGGAGATTTCAGGTATACATTTAGGTAGTGTGTTTCCTTAATTGCCTCATTGGATGAGGCTGTTTGCTTAAATTTTACCCTAAACAGGAGAGTACATTATCTGTGTGATCTGAATTTCATCATATCAAGAAGTTAAGAAATGCATTCTGATTTTTAAGAACGTATGGCTAAAATAAAAGTTTTCATTGTGTAATGTATGATGTATTACTCTAGCTCATTTATCAATAACTACTGATTACATCCTAATTGGTAGGAGAATTGAAAAGATATTTCAAAATGGAGATTTTAAAAATCAATTTTACGCTAATGTCCTAATGTCAACAAAAGTGTTATCATTTTCAAAGTACAGTAATAATAAGAATTAACATTTTGGGGTGTGACACAAACCTTGAACAGAGCAAATTTCCTATGCAGATTCCAGAAAAGTATTCTCCCAATAAAACAAGAAGTAAGACCAAACTCTTTTTGACCCTTAGGTTTGACATGTTTTGTTGCCACAGGATTTAATGCCTTAGAGCAAAAGAAAAAAATTAGAAAAATGGGCCGGAACACAATTTGTTTTCTAAGGTAAAATTATATTACCACATCGTTTTTTCCTGAGAAACTTTTGTAAATAGGCCTGCCTCACACTGGGCAGGTTGGGAATGCCCAAGGAGTGACTATTGAAATCTCGATGGCTTAATTCAGGCAAAGTCTATTTCATCGCAGATGCAGCATGTTGCTGTCACTGGATCCCACTTCCTCCCTCTGCAACTTTTTTTCACCTCTGTCACCATAACACAATGCATAGGGTAAAGAAGATGGGACTGAGAGTCGAGAACCTTCTGCATGTGCTTGAGCTTCAGACGCTTGCCCTCAGTCATATTCGTTGACAAAAGCAAGTTAGACTGGCAAGACTGATCTTAATTAAATGTTTTCCTAGATAGAGAAATGGAAAACTACTGAGCAACATCAGTGTTTACTATGCAGAATGAAGGCCCCTTCTTGAGCTGAGGAAGAACAGAGCTGCTCTTACCGAGAGCAGAAGGTTGCTGGGGGGAATGAGAAGACGGTCACATGCTGAGGTGCCGGCTCTAATGTGCATGTGTAAGAGGAAATCAGAAGGACTTGCCAAGGAAATCTTGCCAAAATGCTGCCAGATAATTGGGAATTGCAATGGGTGTTCATAGAGGAGAACAGTTAAAACCTGAATGTATGAGGATCTGTTTTGAAATAATGAGGTACAATGTATAAATAAAATTAGATCATCTCATGATATTAAAACATTCTGTCCTCATCACCACTTGCATATAACTGCTTTATGCATTTTTATGACAATTATAGACAAAATTCATCTACTTTAACAGGATGTCCAAAAATAACACACTAAACTTCAGTAATAATATTAGTTCTTAATTTAAAAAATGTCTGTGTGCACTGTTTAGTAGAATACTTTAACATCTTTAAAACTCTTTAGACAAAGTGTATTGTAAAATCACAATTATTTCATGCTAAGTCGTTAATACATTCTTTTCTGTGATTTCTTGGTAGCATTTTAACTTTTCTTGGAGATGATTGCAGGGAACCAGAAGTTTGTGGTAAATCACAACCTCTCAGGAACTATGCAGAATAAGCTATGGGTATCGGAGCAAAGTTTCTCTTTTTTTTTTTTTTTTTTTTTTTTGGTTTTGGTTTTTCTCCGGTACCGGGAACCGAACTCATGACCTTGCGCTTGCCAGGCAGGCGCTTTTGCCGCTGAGCTAAATCCCCAGCCCCTCGGAGCAAAGTTTCTCACATGGCATATTTGTGGTTCATTCCGGATGGGTCTGACTGAAAGACCATTATGAAATCACTGTAATATCAGCATTAGAGAATGAACCCTAACAGGACGTGAAGGTTGCAATTCAGGAACAGTTTGGCTAGGTGTGTCTGGATCAGAATTTTTATGAAGTTTCAGTAAGGGCAGCATCTGAAGGCATGCCAGGAGGTGTAAGATCAGCTCTCACCATGGCCCATTCATACAAGAGGTGATCAAAATATGTGAGGAATACTGAAATTAAAAAGAATTTATTACCATGAATCCATCTGAAAATATTCCCGTTCATTTCAGACACACTTGCCCCATCATCCTTGCCACTTTCTGAAGCAGTTCTGGAAGTCCTCTTTCATGAGTGACTTTAGCAGGTGTGATCAAACTATCAGCCATTGCTGCTGTCCAGTTCCACCAAATGGAAATTTAGGCTTACTAAAACATTAGCATGTGTGCTCGTCCCTCTTAATCACTGGATATGGAACCATGTAATTCTGGCTCTTGCCCAAGGTAAAAATGAGCATGTGTTTATAATGTGGTAAATGTTTTTGAATTACTTCAGGGTATCATATCTAAAGACATGAGAGGACCTCCAGTAATGCTTCAGAAAGTGGCAAGAACCATGGGTTAAGTGTGTTGAAAGCAAAGAGGAATAATGAAGCTCATTTATAGCAATGTGTGTTTTTACTGAACTAATTCTGTTTTAATTTAAACTTAACACACACTCTTAAGTTTCAGCTACACAGCACGTAGCTGTGACCTATAGGTATGAAACCTTTGTGTGGAGTTTGTCCAAGGGCTACTTGGGAATTCCTTTCAACAGGGCAGCTGAAATCCCTAGAGAAAATGATCTAAGAGGGATCAGCTTCGGAAATCACAATGCCTATTATGACATAGTATCATCCATCTTGTTTTATGATGCATTATTTCTAACCCACACACAAGGTGAAATAATAATTAAGCTTCATTTTCTGAAGAGACTATTATCAAAGAATCAACATGTGGACGTAATGTAAATAATGTAAAGTCATAACACTCTCCCAAAGCACGCCAAACAGAGATGGTTGTAACTTCTAGGCAGGTAAAATGTATAAGCAGGTGAAGTAATAGGTTTTCATTAGGAGTCAGTTGAAAAAATTGACGATAATTGAGAGTGTTATTTTGAGAAAAAAGTAATTTGATAATAAACAATATTATTTGGGCTTGGCAGGAGACATACTTTGATTAGTGCAAAATGAATTTTAAAATCTTGCAAAAATAGAATGAAGGATTGGTTATCACCTTTTCTAATATCCAATTCTTAATCTGTTTCATTTATTGATCTTATCCCAGACTTATTGAGCCTTTAAATTATGATTTTGTGTTGCCTTTGCAAGTACAATACAACCTCATTGACACATTCACTTTAGATTTGATACTCTAAAAAGAACTTACTTTGTTAGTGAAATCATTTTATAATAGGAAAATTATATCATTTAAAATTTCAAAAAGTAGTGTCTGTAAGTAAATATCTTTAGAAGCTATCAAAAGTGATTATGCCTAGTTTCATCTTTTAATTTTTCTTCTAAGGTCAGAAGCAGAATTTGTTTGAAAATTTTCCAAACCAGTAAGAGCAACCAAAGTTGTATGACTGTAGTTGAAGCTGTATGTTGTACAATTAAATGAAAACTCTGATTTACAATTTCTTTGCTGTGATGAGTGGAACATATTGGGTGACTGCAGCTATTTATTTACAGGGTCAGATTTTGTCCTTGCCTTCCTGTGGCTAGCCATTCTTGGAGGGGAAAGTGGTTGGGCTTCAGTACCTTAAGAAACTGTGAAGTGTCAGATACATATTTGCAATCGCTGTGAAAGGCAAACTGCCATAATTTGAGAGGACACTTCCAAGTTCTATGCAGTAAGAACATGTTGCAGGCCAGTGTGTGGCTGGCAATGTGGGACTTCCTGTTTAATAGATTGTGACAGTCGTGGTTGGTAATTCACGGTGGTTACATTGTTGTGGACTGGCTATAAAGCATGATTTTTTCGTACCATATTCCAGCATGTAATGCTATGATTGAGTACACTAATATAAAATGGAAAACTACATATTTGTTTGAAATACTATCAGGGACAGTGTTTGAAAAGTTGTTTATCGTTTACAAATGCAGGTGCTGTTTAGTATCTTGCACAGATTTGCATATGTGATGGCTTCTGTGTGGAGCGGCTATGTGAATATCTGTCCTGAGATATTTGACAGTGAAGCACTTTTATTGACATTTGCTATTCGAAGAGCACTATGTGGAGAGCTTTTCTGAAGTTTCAGCTAAAGACCATTCAGCCTATGCTGAGCCCTTTTACTACAGAATGCATTAGAACTTCCCCTCACACACAGGGAGAGTCATAAAGTACTATGTCGATTTTAATTTCTGTCCCACTACTGCTACCATGGTGGGTTTGTATCCCAGAACGCTAGACTTCATTTCCCAGCATGAGAAGTGTCCTGAAAGTTTAGTAAACCCATCAATCTGGCTATTGAAACATGTAGGTGTTGTCTGGGAAAACTAGGATGGTTATTGATTTCTGAAATGAGTCATTACCTAACTTTCAGTAAGTAGGCACCTTCAAAATTTGTCTTATCAGAGTCATTAATTTTATCCAGATATTTCCACTTTAACTGTAGACACACGTGTGATTGACAGAAATTTACAGTTTGCCTACTTTAATGCAATGTATATATATATATATTTCCCAAACTTATTAATTGGAATGTTCCTACTTTATACACCTGGAAAGACTCATAGGACATTTGTGTACAGTGCTATAAGTGTAAAATTCCCAGACATTTTAAAATAGGGCTGACAGTGAATCACACAGCTCCTTTAATTTTGACCTATTCAGTTAGTATTAATGATGCCAACTCATTTTTCCAGGTACTATTCTAGGCACTGAGGTATAAACATGAATAAGAGAGTTTCTGAGGTCCACAAATTCATGACTTAATTAGGAAGCAGAAAATATAGTGGTTTCATCAATCTGTCTTTGAAGGAATAACACTTTTCATTGCAAGTGACTGAAAAATCTATCCCAAATAGCTTAAAGGAAAGGAGGACTACATTCATATCAAGAAAGGTTCAAATTGAAAAACCATTAAAAGGTTCTTTAACAGTCCAGTAGAGGTAAGGTCATTACAGTTCATAGTGGTAAGTGCAGTACCTGAGGAAAGTTCCTACCATCCAGGTGTGAGGGAGAGAGGAGGAAGAGATTCGTATTGTCTGGAGTGTTTGGGAGGGCTGAAGTGAAGGAGTAGTGTGTGAATGAGACTAGGCAGGAGAAAGAAGAGGGAAGTGTAACCAGTCAGGCAGCCTTGAGGATGATGAGGATGTGCAAGAGGGAATATTGTGTGTGCAAAATGCAGTTCAGTAAGATGCCCTGGGAACTGTACGAAACTTGTATTTCTTACAGGAAGGTATGGGGAAGTGTAGAGTGAAAGGACATCAGAGTGGAAAATTAAGCATGACCCAGATGTGAATGGCCTCCTGCATCATGCAAAGCTGCTCAGACATCAGCCTTTATTATGCATCACTTCCCAACTGCTTTACTTCCACTAGTTCAGGGGAAGCCACTAGCACATTTAATAAAATAAAATAGAACTGAAAATAGAGTGGATTATATGTTGCAATGCACCCCTTTTCATAGCATTTGGTTACAAAGGTTGTGATTTTGTGTCACTGGGTCATGATCTAAGACACATTTTCTACCTGAAATAAACTTTGCAAGCCTGTGTTCTACATGATGACTGCCACTGAGTTATGTTTAGAAAGAAAAGCTGTCATAGTCAGAGTGCTGATGGAGAAGGTCAACTCTCTGAATAAATAATGAGGAGAATTAATTGCAAGGGGCAGTAGTGCAGAAAGACAGGCATGTTATACAGTTGTTTGAGATTCCTGTATTTCATGTGTTGTAGGGGTTCTCATGAAGCCATTTTTACTAGGTAATTGTCTATCTGAACATCAAGTGTGAGGTCTTAGTTGTAGGAAACACCTCAGTCGTAATCTCCACATTTATTCTCAGATGTGCATGGCCTTGCCGAAGAGAAGTGTAGACAGTATTCCTTGCCAGGAAATAGAGGGTGTGAACTACTTAAAAACTCTCACCTTTTATGCCATCATTTGTATCCTCACTATAGAAAATATCTGATATCATTTTAAGTAATATACTGTGTGTCATAAATTGATTATTTTCTAAAATTAGTTTTGTGGTTTGGAACAAAATGTCTACCAAATGCCATCTTTTTGGAAGTAGTTTCATCATGGGATTCTAATTCCATCAGTGGGTTAATCCACTTCTGAGCTCATAGTTGACTAGACTTTCAGGAGGTGGGGCCCCTTTGGAGAAAGTAGGGCACTGGGGTGGGCCTTTGGTAGCATATCTTGTCCCTGGCACCTTCCTTTCTCTGGCTTTTCCTTTCTGTTTCCTGCTGCCATGATAGAAGCAGCTTTCTTGCACCACACCGTTACGTCACAACATGTCTGTTCACCACAGGCCTAAGAATATGCAGCCAGCTGACCATGGACCGAAACCTCGGAAACCGTGAGCAAAGATAAACCTCTTTTCCGTGCAGTTACTATTGTCAGGCATTTTGTCACAGCAGTGAGATGCAGACTAGCAAATTAACAGTGTCAAATTGAAGATGATTAACAAATTCAAGATTATCACTAAACTGACAAAAACTCCTCTTCAAGGATCTTCAGTGAATTGTGGCTTCCCCCAACCTCCCCTTTCCTCCCAGTGGTTTGCAGCTCATCTCCTATGTGCTCTGCTTCTCAGCCCAGTTGCCCACTGTCCTGTTCATCTCATCTCATGTCATCTCATCTCATCTCATTTTATTTCTTAATTCTGGACCTTTTCTTTCTGCTAGTGACTCTGCTTTTCCATTCACAGGCATTCATGCACCTCCTTTCTTCAGACTTGTCCTGTCACTCCTTAGATTCTGATGGAATACTGATCACATCTCTTTGCATTGCAGTCTTCCCTATTCATTGGCCTTGGATCACCTCTGTTGCTGGCTCAAGTTATTAATTTTCACTGAATCAGGCTCAGGAGTAGCACCCACTTGCCCCAGAAATTCCATTTTATCAATAACACATAACATACCTGAAAAGATAGCTTGTTAACAGAGTGTTTGAAAGACTAGATGAAAATATCCAAGATCATGTTGTACGAAAAGGAAAACATCTGGGATATCTTCAGGGAGCATAAGCACAGGAAGACCAACTCCGCTCTGCACTGGCCTCATTCTTTCTGAAACTGGCTGCTTCTGGGCATCTCAGTGTGAACACTGCCATTCCATCTTTTCCATCACACATAATTTATGTCACAAAGAAAACTCATTCTGGGAGGCCTTCAGTCTTTGGTGGTGTTCAGGCTATTTCCATCCTCCTTAGTGATTAATAGTTCATGCAGTGACATAGAAGGGATTGTAGACCAGCCAAGCTGCTGAGCTTCTCATTGTTCCTGCTTCTATGACCACAGAGGTAAAGCAATCATCCCTCTGTTTGACCTGTGAGATAATAAACACTCAGATCCCCATGCTCCCGCCAATGCATCCCCTGCTGTAGCAAATGGAGTGTCTCTGACTCTGTGGTAGTGTCTGACACCTCCCTCGCAGCTTCTCAGGTAGAATTGGCCATTTCTCACCTCTTGGATTTGCCTGCTGGAGCCCTTGTAATTGCAGATCCTGAATACAGGTCAGTGTTCCTTCTTCGTATCTTTGCATGGTGCTCATCATACATTTTGCCAGATTTCATTAGCAGATTGCTTGCTGCAAGTATCAAGTTCCAGAAGTCTGCTTAATTGATGGTTGTACCTTAGAATCTCAACACCCAAAGTGTATCATTATCAAAAGCCTTAGACTAGTCCTGATATTTCTGAAAAACACCTTTCTTGTGTTTAAATGAGTCATTTAAATACCATGCAGAAAAATGATCCCAATTCAAAGCATATTTTGCTTATGTTATGTTCTTTAGTAAGCAACTATTATTGATTTCACTCTAATAGTTCATACATTAACTCAACAAACATTTATTAGCTTGATGCTGT